TTTTCTTCCCCCTTTTCGGAGTAAATCGGAGTTCCGTGCAGGTCCCTACTAAATACAATCAATATGCAACTTTTAACATACAAGAAGACTCATACAGAATTCGATATCATCGGTTGACTTATCTATTATTTTAATGTTATATAGAAAGAACAAAGAAATAATATACAGACTAAAAAACTGAATAATGAGAATAATAGATATAATCAATTTTGTCTAATCGAAGTGAGAATAAAATATATTAAAACAAATCTTTTTGTAGAAGCAACATTATCTCAATAGTTATGAGAAGCATCGAAGTAAAATATAAATAAAAAATGTAATATATATTTCTTTCTTTTTTATCTTTGTATTCATTTACTCCCAATGTCTTATCCTGTCATCAATAAATCTACTACTTGATTGATCTTGTCATTCTTGTGAATGAGCTAATTCTTGTTTTTTGCCTCACAATTTTCTTCTTTTCGTTCGTTTCTGAACTTCTACCTTTGCTATCCTTTATTTCTATATTTTATTCTAGTTTTTTTACTTATTTTTAGTGAATACAAAATCTTTTTGATTTATTCACGTATTTATTTCTTATTGATTAAATAAATATATATTTATTAAAGCAGTGTCAATGTTCTTGCTTGTTAATATTGGTTTAAGTCTAAAAAAAGTCGAATATTAATGAAAAGAATTTGAAGATTGTTTTGTCAGCGAAATTGAAGCAAGCGAAAGCCATATTTACAGCATTGCTTTTGTCAAGCAAAGTTTTATTTGTGAATGATTCTTGAAATCTATTTTTTCTTTCTAATTATTGTTATGGAAATTTAGTGGTAGATGAATATAATTGACTTGAAGAGTTACGTATAGAACAAGGACTTGCGTTTAATACTATAGTATTATTGCTCTCCCAATTTCCCAGAAGGATTAAATCAAATCCACCGTCACCATTAAAATCACCCACACCAACATGAGTTGGAGTCAAAGTCCATGTGGAAATTTTAACTGGTTCTCCAAAACTCCCGTTGCCATATCCAACCAATACATATACAAAATTCTTTGTAGAAAATAAATTATACGCAGCTTGTAAAATAGTGAAAGTAATATCCAGTTGACCATCGCCGTTGAAATCAGCGGCGGTGATTGAGACTGGTGGATAACTAGCTGTTGTTGTAAATATCATTTGTGCTTGAAAACTCCTATCACCGTTTCCAAGAAACACACCAATGTTGTGATTGCCTGTGTTCGCAACGACAATGTCAAGATATCTGTCACGGTTAAAGTCATTTGCAACGATTGAAGATGGATAACTGTAAATTCCTGTTGATAAGATCAATGACGCTTCAAAACTTCCATTATTATACCCAAACATCACATCTACGCAAAATTCAGTAGGTATAGTGACAGCTATGTCCTGTTTACCGTCACCATTGAAATCAGCGATAACAAACGATGAATAACACAGATCACTTCTGCTAGACAATGTTATTTGGGTCGTAAAAAACCCATTTCCATAGCCAAGAAATAAACCTATATTACAACTGGTAAGGTCGATGAAACCAATATCTATATGACCGTCCCCATTGAAATCGCCTACTGTCAACCAATACTTTCCTTTATTATATACTGTTTCTGATATATTATAGTTTGTCAATAATTGCATTGTTTCAAAAGTCCCATTGCCATCTCCAACTAGGATACCTACGCTGCCGCTTTCATAATTCATAGCTGCAAGATCCTGGTGACCGTCATTATTAAAATCAGCGGCAACAAAAAATCCCAGAAAATCATAATTTTCCATGCCTATGCCTGTTGGAGATCTTATTCTTTCTCTAAAAGATCCGTCTCCATTTCCGAGAAGTACATACACAGATATGTTGTAATCGTAGTTCAAATACGCTGTCGCAAAATCTAATAAACCATCGCCATTAAAATCATTGACAGTGAATGCGTATAATTCGAGATCGGAGTCATCTGCTATGTTTAGATAAGTTGTTTCATTAAACATCAATTGGCAAGTTGATACTAAAAATGAAAAGCAATTCAGTTGGTTTTCGATACCCAATGATGAGACATTTAAATGCTAATATATGCACTTTTGATGCACGTTGTACACTAGTTCTTAGTTGTTTGTATTTCTATACATGTATACATGTTGATATTTAGGACAAATGTTCAACCAACTATCTTCCAATCAACGTTTTTTAGTATATATGAAAGGTGTGATAGTTTAATCTTTTTTTCATGAGATCCATCTTAAAAAACGATCGGTATTCTCACTTAATATTAAAAAGATTTTTTATACGAAGTTTTATTTAGTAAGTTTAATAAGATAGACCTTTAACAGAATTTCTATTTGAACGATTCAATATGCAAATATAAGTATCTGTTTTTGATGAACATAACTAATAGTCTTGCTTTTAAAATATTTATCATGATTGATTGAACTTTGTATCTTCTGACGATGCAAACTACGAAGAATCGAATATCTACTCACATATATACTCTAATTTCATTTTCTAATGTATTGTTCAGTGAGGGGATCTTTCATAGCATTGGTTGTCTTTAGAAATTTTATGTTCGTGGATAGGTTTCGTAGTTTCAATATGATGAATTCTTACTAAAGTAAAATGGTTCTGAAGAACAAATATCGATACACTAAATTATGATATAAATAGTTTAAGAAACTAAGGTATTATGCTAATCTCATACTTAGACAGTTATTGGCTAGAGACATAATAACCTAAGTCTCGTAACAAGTGCATCGATATGCTATTACAAGACCATTTAGGTACTGTATCAAACGATGGACATCCGTTTGCATAAGGTCGATTTTCTTCGTCTCAGTATCGTGTGTTCTCATTCTATATCTTTCCATCTTTTTTCTTCCCTCTGATGCTGCTATTTTAGTCTTGGTTTGAATTATCTCGAAGATAATTTGAGAAGTGGTTTTGAGTGTGCGCCGTACTTGATACACATTAGTACTATATATACACTTCTCTCTCATACTGTTCTCTTCTTTCATTTCTGATTTTCATTTTTGTTATACTATGTACATATATATTCATCTCAGAAGAAACTTGTTGAGAACAAAGAAAACTATTATTCAAAATGAAAGTAAGCACGTTATTATTAAGAATAATATTTGATCTTACTAAAAATTAATATTCAATGAGTTTTTATCGTTCTTAAACGTTGTTCCAATAGATGTTCTTTAGTTTAACTATTTTTAGTCAGAAATTAAATCAGAAAAACTTAAATAATTTCTAAGAACTTATTCGAATGTTTCAACAATTATCTTTTAGAACTTGTCTTTAAAGTCAATAACTATTAAAAGAATCTAAATTATTTTCAATTATTCTTTCAGATTCGACAAAAAAAATATATCTTAGATGACATACTACTTTGGAATAATTGACATTTCAAGAATATCCTGTGAAACTATCATCAGTTAAAATACTCTAGTAAAAAGTTGTGTTAAAAAACAGAACAATAGAAAGTAGAATAATTCATTTGAAATGGTATTATGGAAACTTTCGTTGCTCTCATTTAAAATTATTAGAAAGATTTAGAAAAAAATAAGAAACCATATTTCAATAATTATACAGACCTGTTGAAGTAGGTAATGTTGTTACTGAACTCGTCGTGCTTTTGCCACTAGTGGTTGTTACAATCATATGTGGAATGTTTGTTTCGTTCATTGATGATCCTAAAAGAAGATACGTGGTAATGATTGATTTAAATACAGAAAAATCAATTGATGATAATCAAAACAGAGTTATTTCGCTTTTTTCTTATCAATCATATTAAATGCTATTTTGATAAAATCTAGTTTTGAAATCCTAAGTTATGTATGCGTATTTGCTTATTAAAAAAGTATTCAATTGAATCAATATTATAGTTTTATTTCAATATAAAAATATTTCATTTACAAAGTTTGTTTTTTTTTAATGAGAAAATACAATAGAACAATGACTCATAACAACTAAAAATTAACTGTGAATCGGATCTCGTTCTTCTTTGTCTAACTCTTGTCTCTTAAATTCCCTAGAAAAAATTCTTTTTTCAATACAAATCTTATGAAATTCTCTATACAATCATAAGTATACTTTACTCCCAAAATTTCAATCAAGAGGATCAAGTAAGTTGTAAACAAGACGAAAAAAATAATTTTTCGCAATTGAAAACTATTCTTTTTCTGTTATTTTCGTTAAAAAATGTAGTAGAACTATCTATTCAGTTAAGTTTGGTGCTTTCAAATATTCTTTTCTCATAATTTGTAATAATTTTTTTTAAAGAGAATGATGTGCTTATGAGGTAAAGTTTCTCAAATACGATAAAAAAATAACAATCTTATATTCAACAATAAACTTCGAAAGAAAAAGACAGAAAATAGAATCAAAGTTGAGGGTGAGTGTGGGCTGGCGTGACTGTAGGTATTATATTTATTTGTAGTTAACAACCACAACCACACCAACACCCAACAGTTTCAATCTCTTACATTCGAATATGATCTCAACCTTATTCGTATATGATATCTAAAAAAAGGCGCTTCAAATCTGGAAATAGACATTGTTCTTTTAGCTTATCGATCGGACTACTTTGACTATCGAAAAATTGTTTGAAAATAAGACTTTACCTGTTGATACAACTTGGTTGTTTCCTTGTCGAATAAGATAAACAGTGGAAACAATAATAGCGATCACTACCATAATCATGAGTATTATAAACCAAAAGACACAGTTGTAGTTGCGCAGTAACGATGAAAGCCGTCGAGTTCTAAGAGAAAATAATATATATTATAACTAATATAAAACAAAAAACAGATCCATACTCAGTTGTTGTACTTGTCGATACTAATTCTGAATTTATAGTCATACTTTGAACGTTTTCATGGCAAGATATTGTGTTGATAGTATTTATAGGTTGAACTGTGTTGGATTTCTTCTTTCGATACTGATTTATGTTAGCTACAAGACGAACTATCCAGGGACAGATCCACTTGAGAGCAATTGTAAGACCACCATAAATACTAATTAGAAAGGTTATTGTGTAAAGTAAGTTAAACTGTTGGATATAAGTATATGAACACACCGAAGGTGAACATTGTTCAAAGTACGATGTGTAATTGATTTTTGTAGACCAATCTTCGACGAAAAGAACATTAACAAGATCTCTAACGGTTGTATTAATTAAGAAATGACTACTATTTTGAGAAAGAGGAATAGTAGTATTAATCGAATTATTATAGTTTGTCTGTTCTTGAATAAGTTTAATACATGAAGAGTCATAAAAACATTCAAGAGTTGAAGCAAGAAGCGATTCACTTGGTGTACAGCCCATTTTTAAGCCTTTAACTGGAATGATTTCAAATGAATTACTAGATATAAAGTTTGCTTGAGTTGTACAGGTTGCATTTAATCCACAAGAACATTGATTGTCATAAATCACGGCTTGAAGAACTGCATAGCTCTCGTATGGATCAATTAAAGGAACTATGTATTCAAAATTGGTTCCATAAACTGATACAATCGCATTTCCATGGTTTATGGTACGAAGTAAGAATAGAATACGATTGAATATAGTGGGGGAATCCAATTTACTCTGTTCGATCAACGAATCGATTTGGAGACGGAACAATGCTTCTGATATAAGTTGAGTATTGCTCAACGTAGAAGAAAGAAATTGATCAACAGAATTGTTTATTGTTTGAATAGAAATTTGACATAAACCATTAAGAAATTGTAAATGAGCTAGAAGGAAACGACGATAATCTGTTGCATTATAGATAGATAAATCGGGAACAAGACCAGCTAAAAGATTCTCACGCCATTCATCCGAAACAAATGTACTTGAACAGACCTACAAGAAATTCAATAGAAAACAAAGTCTATTTGGAATATATATTGTAAAATATCAATTTTAATCAATCAACTACCAATAAGAAATTAATTTAGATGTTATCAATCAAATTTGATTTGAAATAAATTACATAAAATTGAAACAATTTCATTGATAAAAATCGATGGAAAAACATTTTGTATTAATCGATTATTAATTTTCAATACATTTTGGATGAAAAAACATTTCAATTATAGACAATGATTTATTTGCTATTTTTATAATTACTATAAAAGTTTTCTAAATCAGATATAGAACTAAAAGATTAAATCAGAAAAAGGTCAAAAGTTGTCATTTATCGGTTTGTTTTTTGTCTAATTTTTCTATAGATTTAACCATGAAATAAGTACTTTTAAAAAGTTATAAAATAAATTGTACATTTTAGAGCATTTTACATCAATATAGTCTTGTCATTTACATTAAACAAGTTCAAACAACATCTTTATCTTACTTGATGAAATACGGGTGTAATTTCCACATAATGATTATATGTTGATGAAATTGATGAACATTGACATTGAAGTGTAGTTTTATGCTTTTGCACAAGATTATTGTAGAGATTGAAGGATGGATTGCTAAATGTCTTCGTTATAAGTTGAGGTTGAATGATAGTATACAAAGCAACGATAGTAAAACTAATCATGAGTAGAAGAATGTAAAGACGTGTTGCCATTTGACCAAGACGTTTTGCTATCATTCGATTGGTATCACTTCCAAAACTCCATAAAGGAAATATATTCAGATCGATCAATTTAGTATAGATAAGTGTACGTATTTTTGATAATACTCCTTTTATTCGATTGAACAGTTTCGGACGAACTATTTACAGAAAAATTAGTATTATTATTACTATTATTTGTAAGATCAAGGAATTTTAATTGTTACGACATCTACGATTAAGAAAGATGAAAGGAATTCTATATTTTCTCAGACCATAATACAACAAAATGTCAAATTAATAAAAGGAGATCGACTTACATTGATTCTTATGTTGATATCTGTTATGTATCAAAATTTTCATTGTGGAACTATTATTTTAGAAAATATTTAGGGTAAGAGTGTGGGTTTTTTTCTTTAACAACATCAGCACACACCTACGCCCTCCCATGAAAATTGTGAAAGATGTAATCACTGTTCTCAAAGTTCTAGATCTTTTGCAGCAGACAGAAATGAACTTTCACAATCAATTAATAATATTAATGATCCTCTAATTGATCTAGTTTTTATTTTCATCTTATAATATTTGTTTTAGTCTTATACAACATATGATTCTATGATTTTTCTAAAAACATTTGATTAATAATCACCTTGTTGTTGTTGTTGTTGTTGTTGTCTTCTGGTCTTTGGTGCAAATAAACCATAGAAAAAGTTGATAAGTATAGGCGTAATTAGTCGTAGTGCCGCTGAAAGACCACCAATCATAGATATCATTATAAGTATTATCCCAACGAAATTATTTTTATTTGCTGTAACAGTATAACTACAAGAGGTTGGTGCACATGCTTCCCAATATAGCTCGTATGAATGTACAAAATTCCACTGATCGACCATTAGATCTTCAAATATCATTGATAATGTAGTTTTTGGTGGAAAATGGCTCGATGCTTGATCATAAGTTAGAGGAGGAACACTAGCCATCGCCGATATGCTAATATAAGAAAACAAAGATATTTAGGTAAAGTCGGATCAAAATTGAAATATTTTTTTGTGGGATTTATTTAGGAATCTCTTCCGAAGCTTATCCTTTAGTTTTCAATTGATCTCAACATATTGTATCTACTAGCATTTCTATTATCTGCTTTAAGATCTCACAAACGATTTGAGAATAATTAGGATGTGGGTGTGGGTGTGACTTGAGAAAAATTCTCTTACCTACACCCACACCCACACCGTCAAGATACGACAAAGAATTCCAAATTCGGTAAAAAAAATTTATGTGTCGGAGTGTTTTGGAAAGTTGTTTGAAGTGTACCTGAACCAATATTAAGACTCAATAAAAAACGTCGGTATTTACAATGAGCATCAACATATTCTGAGATAAATCCGATAGAAACTACTCTCATCTCGATTCAATTTTACTCACGTACAAGTCTGTATTATAACTTGTATAATAGAGCAACATTGATAAGCAATCCGAGTCCGAATATAAACATTCGAATGTTGAAGAAAGAAGAGAGTTGAATATGTAACAACCATCAGCAAAACCTGGTACTGTGTAGGCTGGCACTCCAATAGAAGTGCTAACACTCCAATGAGTTTCATATAATTGCAGCGATTGTATACAATTGATATTAGTAGCACAAACACATTGGGAGTATGTCACATTGCCCATGTATCCGGACAGCTGTGTTGATGTAGCAAATGATAAACCATTAAAACGAAATGCAAGCTGAAAGTAAAAGAAAGATCTGTATTGAGTCGTTTATAAATCTCAACCCTAGTACTACCAGTCGAGATCGTTTTTGGCCACAATGGTAGTAAACTAATCAGTACAATAAAACTTTTTAATATCTCGAAATTTTCACTAGTATATGTGAGATGAGATTGTCTGTGTGATTCTGAGTGTGAATGAGTGTAGAGTATATTTTTGCTTTTATCTAAGAAAATAAACAGTGGCAACGATGAACGGAACTTTGGGAAAGGAAAGAACAGCAATTTTCAGATTAGATGAATGATTTTCAGATGTAGTAAGTGATCATATAGAAATTGCCTTTTAGAATACATTCACGAACTCACAAACTGCAAAAAAGAGGTTGGTAGTAGTAGGGTTAAAAATGCTGTTTTTCAAGTCAGAAATGAAAGGAATCTTATAACATATCTTTTTTTAAAATGTTTTTCCTAAAAGAAATCTCAAAAATGTGGTACTACTTAGCAAAGTTAACCCTTTTACGACGGAATTATTTTTATTTGAGAAAAATAGAAGAGCAAGTTTTGGAATATTCATGCAACAATATTCTTGACAAATTATGCCACACGAAAAGATTTCATGAGACTTTTTTTATATACATCTACTATCTCAGTTCATTTTATCTAATTTCTATTGCATCATTAATCTACCACAACCTATTATTTTCTTAATCTCTGTTTTTTTATCACATTATCATTATCATCACTCTTTCCTATACCTTGTATATATGAATATGTTGTATAATTATTATTCTGCAATGTTCACTTGTTTTTATTTTCAGAATCTTCTTTTATTCGTTTCTATTGAAGTCGTGCGTCATAATCAACCAGTCATTCTTTTACTTTTTTGTATCATTTTTCTACACTAGTAACTCTAGTTTTCTATGTTCATCATTTACTTGTTTCGTTGTTATTAACAAAACATAGGAAATACACTGAACTTTCACTCATATATTCAAGAATTTCTCATTTTCGGATAGAGAAAATTTAGCTTTTTTAATATCATTCGAAGAGTTCGAACAAAACACTTTTTGGTTTTAATAAAAACATACCTGATACGTTTGCTGACCATTCATTTCATTGATCAAGGGTCCTACCATTGTTTGAGCACTTGATGATAGCGTGTAAAATTGATCAACTCCAGCGACAAGACGTGCAAGCTCAATGAGATTGCGATAATCGATGACTGTTGATTGGATGAATTGATTGTAAATTGCATTTAACTGAGCATTGAAATTGTTTTCAGTAAGTAAATTTGAAGCGACAAAGGACCTCATAGTAAATCGCTGGATAGCATCATCAGTCGTGGTATTAGCCATTTGACAGAGTCGCCTTAATAAATTCAATTCGTAGAACGCTTGGTAACGCCAATCTGAATTAGGTAAGTACTGAGAGAAAGGCTCAAATAGGTCAATCACATCATTTTTGATAAAGTCGCTTGTGCACACTTGATGAAAGGTTGGATTGATTGAAATAAATGCGTAATACGGTATAACCATGCTCGAACAAAGACATTTGAAACTATCTGGATACAATGTTTGTAATTGATTGTAGGTAGTGAACGATGGATTTGATACACTTCTCGTGATAGTTTGAGTAGCAAACGAATTGAATAGAAGCAATATGAGAAACGAGCCTAATGGAGAAGACATAAAAATAAATACATTGATACGAATGAGACTGAATTGATTTCTGTCAAGCAGAAATTCATTAACTTATTAAGACTTCAAGAAAGTGAGAAAGACTGAAGTCATATAAATTCCATGAGATAAAAATCGAAAGTTTACCACGATTTTACTGATCCGATTATCAGCTCTCATTACTGTCATTTATCACGATAAACTGCTGATTTCAACAGTTTTTTTTAGTAAATGGTGATTTACAGCTAAAAAGGAAGTGGTATTTTGAACATAGTGTGCATATGTCAAATTGAAAAATTACTTTCATTATTGAATATTTTTTCTATATAAAGAAATTATTCTAAATATTACATTTGGGTGTGGGTGTTGGTTTGGTTTAAATGAAATACCTACACCCACACCTACACTATCTGTTTTTTAATTATGTTCCATTTAACTTATCTTCTATTTAGCTTGTAAATAAGAAACATTAAATATTATTTATCTTAGAATTTTGTAGTTATTCAAATAATATCTTGATACACTTATTTCTGATGTGAAATACAACAAAAAAAATTTCAGTAAAAACATTCATACCAGCAAGCAAGATCAAATACGCGTGTGTCGTTATTTTCTGTTTTTTGAGATCGTTTTCAGTTCGTTCATTGATTGATTTGAACAAATTCAATTGTTTTATCCATACACCGAATTTACGCATACGTAATATAAAATATTCTACAAAATTAAAATAAAAATTATTTTTCATTCGATCAAACTTTACCGAAACTAATATGAATGTTCGTTAATCGAAGTTTCAGTTTTGACACGATATTAACTATTGACGTTGCTACAAAACGTAGCACAATAATAAGACTACCGTACAAACTAAGTAAAAGACTAATTGTATATGAAAAACTGGTCCAGTCTGTTTTGGTATATGTGCAGACTGAGGGAGCACACTCAGTGAAATATGTTGAATAATTCATCTTTGTTAACCATTCATCCACAAAGAGATCAGATAAACGATCATTGACAGAAATGTTTGTTCCATTTGAAGGTAGTAAAGCACTAAAATTCACCTAAACGGAAAGAACAGTTGCAGGATAAATAAGATTGTGTCATACATACTTGATTGAGAGCTGGAAAATAGTCGGGAAGTATTTCCAGACAACTGTCATCGTACAAACAATCGAGTGTACTTTCAAGGAGAGTATTGAGTGGATAACATCCTCCAAAGAATCCACTGACATTTGCGGAAGCAGTTAATACATAAAACAGATAACCAACAGAACCAAGGTAGTAAAGATAAGAATTATAATTATCATCCCAATAGTGCAGATAGGAAACTGAATAAAAGCCAGCTGGATACGTGCTATTATTTGTCGCGCAGGTTTCATCGGTACTGCCAAAAGTGATGTCGAAACTATATACTTCATACCCGTAGGGAGTCGCAGATATAAATACGTTGAATACTGTATTCAGAGCAGTAACTAAACCGTTTTGTTGTGTTGTGACTTCTAGAAACTGTATGATTGAGGTGACTTGAATATGTAAGTTCTCCCGAATAAGTTCAATAGCTGCGTTTACTTGAGCTTGAACTTGATCTTTTGGAAGGAGTTGAACAGTGATAAACTGATTAGTACCAAATTCATTTATGCTTTGAAAAATTGTATCATTAGAGAATGAACAAAGATCAGCCAGAATTGCGAACTAAATGGAAACTCAAATAATTCAGACAATGATTTCTAATTAAACCACATAGAAGTGGATGAATGTTACATTGTGATCATCTCATGTCAGCTATTAACAGTAATAGATCAGTTCTCAATAATGAACATTTTAGTATATATTATTAAAAAAAA